CACCCGCGGACTGACCCGGCCTAGCCTGCTATGGGTGGCAACCCAACTCGTGATATGCCCAGGTCACGGGCCGGATCCAACTCCAGACCCGGGACCAGAGAAATAGGTCTGTCTCACTGTTGATCCGGCCCACTATTGATCCGGCCTGGCCTAGCGCGATCCACAATTGACCCCGCTCGATACATAAGAACATTCACAAGAACAACAAACAAGACATTTCCTTGAAGAATTTGATGAATATAACTTGAAGGAATTCACCTCCTTGAACATTAATGGTTAACATATTTTTTCCTTTTTCCCTCTTGTATTTGTAATTTAAATTTAAACTAAAGAAAACTTATTAACTTCCTATGGACATAGGTCTTCCTTCTAAGTCCGAAGCACGTAATTATTTGTGATGTTTTTCTATGTGATGCTTATCCTTGTGTGTGTATCTATCATTTTAAATAAAGAGTGAAATAGAGAAAATTTTAAAACATTATTTAATAGATACAAATACAAAGTTAATATAGTTTAGAAATTAGAAATAAAAAAATTAGGGAAAAGCTGAAAAAATCTACGAGCCAACCCACGATCCATGAGCCAGGCCCAACTAGGCCCGCTCCCAGACAAGTCGTGAGCCAGGTCGGGTCCAATTCTAGATCTGAGATCAGAGAAGTAGGCATGACCCATTTTGATCCGGAGGGGCCCGGGGCAAACCCGCCCAGCCTTGAACCAGGTAGGTCGGGTCATGGGCCTGAACTGACCTGGCCCACACACACCCTTAGGTAGAGCGCTCACTTACCATGCAAGAGATATGAAGATCGAAACCCCGCATCTCCATCATCTTTTTCCTTAATCCATGATAATCTGCAATTTATATTTAGAAAAACTATATCAGAAATTACATTTTCCATATCAGAAACATTCCTTTTTCCTTATTAAAAAAATCTCTATAAAAAATCTCTATTAGAAATTACATCTCTATATCAGAAAAATCGCCATATTACATGTGTTTCCATTTTTCTAAAATAAAATATGGAAATAAATATGGTTAGGATTTGCCTAACAAGAAAATTGTTAGGAATAAACTATCCAAACACGTTTATCCACATTCAAATGTGTATATCTAGTAAATAATTAGATATACAAATCAATATTATTTAACTTTAAATACTATAATAAAAGGACATATTCATATATTATATTTTAACCTTCAAAAGTTTCCATCATAGTTAACGATATTTGATTACTGATCCGAATCTAATCCAAACCCTAATCTTTTTATCTACCCACGAAGGGGCTATTTGGTTCCTAGATTGCATATTGATACACGTCAGGAATTTTGGAAAATCTAAAGTCAAAATTTTGTTTGTTTGCATTGAATATTAAAGTGACTTTACAGAAGAGATAAAAACCAACCCAAATTTTGCTTGCTTGCAGATGAGTTCTGTTGAAAATATGTAATTAAAATCACAAATCCTAATATCAGTATAATTTTAAAGAATTATATTTGATGCATCTATTTACATGGCAATTCCAAATCCGTAGGGTTAAAAATATCAAACAAAGAATATATTTGCTAAAGACCCTTGATTTTTAACTTGTGGACCTCAGTTGTTAAATGCAAGATGGCTAAATGCATAAAAACAAACAGCCCCAAATAGCGACTCTAGTATCACAAAAACTATCCACATTCATAATCATCTAGTTTATATACATCAGAAAAAAAAGCTAACATTGCAATTTTTTTTAATAAATTGGTAACAACATTGAAAAACCAATACATAACATTTTTTTTGATTTTTTCCCCTTTTCGGTAAATGAGGAGGGCACTTTCATCTCTCTCCTTGATATTCATTTTGGGCCAACATATCACATATGACTAGGGCTGTCCAAAATACCCGCCGGCCCGGGCCCAGCCGGGCCATGGCCCGGCCTCGGCCCGGAAATCCGGGCCAGGCCGGGTTCCGGGCCCGGGTTGCCTCAGCGGCGCCCGGCCCGGCCCGGAACAGTACGGCGCCGGGGCAACATCCGGGCCGGGCAGCCCGGGCCCGGAGCCCGGCCCGAAAACGCCTGGGCCGGGCCGGGCCGGGCCGGCCACAACGGCCAAAAACGGCGGTTTGACCATTTTGCCCCCAAAAACGGTCAAAAAACGGCTATTTTGTGAGGTTATTTTGATCATTTGCCTAGGGGGCTGGTTCTATAAATAGAGGGGGGGTTTTCATTTGTTTTCTTCACACCAAAAACTCATTTCTTCTCTCTTATACTCTTATACCCTCTCTTATACTCTTATACTCTCTTATTTATACTTTCTAATCATTTCATCAAATAGCTTCCGGATCTGATTATGAAGAGTAAAACCTATCTCCCGACCCTGAAATGAGTCCTCCTACTGGGTTTACTCTTACCGAAGTTAATCCCGAATCCGGTGGCGACGAATCTGCACCAAGAGCTCCTAAAAGGCCAAGATCCGATGTGTGGCATTTTTACGAGAAGATCGACGTCACCAAGGATGAACACGGTAGGATCCTCACCCAGAAGGCTAAGTGTGCTTTGTGCGGCAAGATTTTTCAAGCTCATCATAAGAGCGGCACCAACCACCTCAAACGCCATTTAGATAAACACAACAAAGGCCAGCCTCCTCAAGGTGATATCCGACAATCTATGATTTCTCAATCCTCCTCTTCTGGTAGTCTCGGTAGTTGGAACTATGACGCTGCCAGAGCCAGGAAATACGTAATCAGGTTTATCATTCTTAAAAACCTTCCTTTTAAATTAGTAGAAGATGATGAATTTGAAAATATGTTTAGAGATGGTTTTTATCCTGCATTTAAAAAATTTTCTCGTCAAACCTGTCAACGTGATATTTTAAAATATTATCAGGAGGAACAAGGAAAAATAATTTCTTATTTTAAAAATTTAAACTGTAAATTTTCTTTAACTTCTGATATTTGGACATCTAGAGCACAAACTGGATATTTATGTATCACAGCACACTGGATTGATGAAAATTGGCAAATGTTTAAAAGAGTTGTTTCTTTTATTGCAATGGAAGAGTCACATACTGGTGCTAATGTTGCAAATTTAATAATTGAAGAACTTATGAAATTAGAAATTTCAGAATGAATATTTTCTCTTTCACTAGATAATGCAAGTAATAACAATGTAGCTGTTGATTTTATCAGATCAACTCTGTCATTGCCATGTCATGGTGATCTTTTTCATATTAGGTGCATCTGTCATATTTTAAATTTAATTGTTCAAAGTGCATTTACTGAAATTAAACCCATGATAGAAAAAGTTAGAACAGTTGCTTACATGCATAGTGCTTCTGAACAAAGACTTAAAAGATGGAAACAATTTTGTAAAAGAAAAAAATGTAAAACCTAGACTAATTCCAAAAGATGTTGATCATAGGTGGAATTCCACATATGCAATGTTAAGTTTAGCAATAGAATATAAAGACATTATAACTGATTTTATAAACTATTATGCTTCTAGTTCTAGTTCTGGTAGCACTTATGGAATAACTGAAGATGAATGGACAGTTATATGTAATTTAAATGAAATGTTACAAGTTTTTTATGATGCTACAATGTTATTATCTGGCTGTTATTATCCAACCATTACTTTAGCTGCTTTACAAATTTTAAATATTCAAAAAAATTTTGGGAAATATCGTATGGATGCTACTTTTGGACCTATGATTTTTGAAATGGAGAGCAAATTTAATAAGTACTTCTAGGCCTATTCCTCATATTTTTGGTTTGGGGGTTCTTATTGATCTATGCTTGAAGGATATTGGTCTTCGAAGTTTGTTACAGTCATTGTATGATGGACATGTTATAGACTTAGATGATGGAACCACCCTTACTGTTACTACTCATCATTTAGTTATTAGAAATTATTTTCAAACCTTATATGATGAGTATGCAGCTAGACATGGTGTAACTACACAACAGTCTACAGCTTCGGTTTCTTCGAGCTCATCCCGAGGTAAAAGTGTAAGTTTTGATAGGTATGCAATGATAGCTGAGCTAACTGGTGGATCTGGACTTGGATCGTCATCATCGGAGGTTTCTGAAATAGATGAATATTTTTCTGCTTCTTTAGTTAGATGTCAAGGAAATGCTTTAGATATTTTGCAATGGTGGAAAGTATATGGATCAGTTTCATATCCTATACTTTCCACCATGGTTCGTGACTTACTAACAGTGCAGGTTTCGACGGTAGCTTCGGAATCCGCCTTCAGCACAGCAGGTCGTTTGATCGACGATCACAGGACATGCTTGGATCCGTATACTGTACAAGCGGTGATGTGCTTACAAGATTGGTGGAGGTACGAGAAGCGAACGCAAGGCATCGATCGGATGGCTGGAATTGAAGATAAATTTGAAGAATTGGGACTAGCAGATAGATATAAAGAATAGATTGTAGTTTTTATATATTAGCTTAAAATTTGTAAAGAATTATTTTGGAAATAATTACAAATGATAGTGATATAGGTGAGTAGGTGCCAACCTAGTTAGTTGGGATTTACTTATCTATTGTGATGCGATTAATTCCAAAATAAATTTGTACTTGTAATTTGTAAATGATTTATTAGTTATTAATAAAGAATTTGTTTTTATTATTTTTTATTTGTAATTTATGTCATTTTAAGTAATTAATAAAATTATTGTTTTTATTATTTTTCTTATTTTTTTTATAATTTAAAATTTAAATAAAATTGAAAATTTTTGGCAAAAAAAAAATCATCCGGGCCAGCCCGGAACCCGGTCCGAGGTACCCGAGTCCGGGTCCGGGTCCCGGTTTTGCCCAGCCCGGGCCCGGATTTTCGGGCCGGGCCGGTCTGGATGGACAGGCCTACATATGACGGTTTAAGCCGTAGTTTAGCTTCCTAGTCTCCACTTAAACAAACCGGGTTCGTTATCCAAGTTTGGTCAGCCCGACCCGTTTGCGCCCGACCAATATATATCAGGTCACCTCAACTCAAAGATCCATTACATATTTTTGAATCTCGAAAATACCCCCGCTATTCCCCTTAATTCCCATCTCTCTCTCCTTTACCCTTTCCGTGGAAACCCTAGACTCTCCTCCAACGGACCGTAGGATGTACGCAGATCGCGTGGCGACCGGAGCGAAGAGATCGATCAGGGATCGCCTCGATGGCAATCTCGTCCAAGATTTGGGCCGGAATCGATCCGACAATTCTAAAAGGTACAATTTTTATTTGTTTCGATTCGTTTATGTTGTTGGAATTTGAGTCAGCATCGTATGAATTTGGTTGTGAACGGAAGAGTTAGGGCTTGTATGGGTTAGATTTTGATTTTGCTTGGATGAGTAATCTTTTGATTGTAGTGGTTTGAATCTCAAGCTTTATCCTCTTCTACTTGGAGGATTTTGCATGCTTTGTATTCTTCACTACGAATTAATCATTAGTTATACTGAGACAAATTCATTCTCCAGAAGGAAAATATCAATTTCTAACTTTTCAGTTGTAGTCATGTCGATTGATATATCAATTTACTTCCCTCCTCCGATCATAAGATTTTCTTGCCCATGTGAAAATATTTTCCATGTACTTTAACGTTATCACAAAAAGGTTACCCTAACAACTAACAAGGCTGCAAAGTGCAAACTCATTCGATAGGAGGATTCTCATCTATCATTGATTGTCTAATTTAATTTTTAGACCAGCCTAGCTTAATCTCAGGTTTATATGAAGTCGTGAAAAGTTAAAAAGTTGATCCTTTGACTAATGAATTCAAATTGTGCCCTGGCTAATCCTCTTGTTACGATGTTACCTAGGTAGGAAAAGTTACATAACAAATCAGAAAACATATCAAACCTGGACTAGTCTTGTTTTGATGTGATCTTGAATTACCATGGAACTTCATTTTCATCCCACCTCCATGTTGATGTGACGAGCCCTCCATCCTACCTGCTATTTGGGTACGCATGCCATTTATTTTCCCCTCCTTGAAGACAATAGAACTGCCTAAAATATTACAACCTATATGCTATAGCGCACTGATTCTTTAGAACCATCATGTGAATGCAGCAAGGGCCCAGCTTGTAAATGTTGTTTGATGGATGCAGATCCTTGTTGAATTTGTTTTTTGGTTCGTGGTCAAATTCTGTAATTTTGAAATGCCTTAAAAATATGTAGTACAGAATTCTGCATGAGAAGTCTTTCTGATTTTCTCTGCACTTGATCACAAAAAGCTGATGTTCAGAATCCACAGAGCTTTTAAATGTTCCAGATTTGAAATTATTAATTGTTAGTTCTTTTAGAAGATTGCTTAGTACTGAAATCCAACGCTTCTGAAGTGCTTCATGCCTAGAAGAAGGTTTATATCAAGATTTCAATGCTCAATCCATTAAGACTCTTCTAATTTCTTATTTCGACAGTTTCAGGTAGCACGTGAATGAGTTCTAGAAAGGCAGCCTTAGAAATTGCAAATTCTGTTATTGAAGATCAGGGATGCTTTTGTTCGTAGTGAAGTCCAAAATATTTTTTGGTGATGTATTCTTTCAGCAGTTATTAGCATGAAGTAATATTTTTTTAATAGAAAAAAACCAGAATCTGAAAATACTATACAGCAACAACACAAATCGTGTATGATATTAGTTTTCTTATTATCTTGCTGCACAATTGTTAGTTAATATCACGTCTCCAAGTGCTTGTTGTGGGAGAAAAGCTGTGAGCATTTTCTCTTTTGAGAACAAGGCGCTAGATTATGGTGGTGAGGACTGAAGTTAATAAACTATTGTTTGAGGACCATCATAATTACCTTTCATCATTCAAGATCAGAACATAAGGTACTTTGGGAAGTTGACAAGGATTTATTTATCTTGGTAATTTGACCTTTGGAGGTGATTGTTACTCAATCTGAGAATAAGGTTGACCAGTCATAATACATACTGCTTCGTGGTGCTACCTTGGTTAGGTTTGCCATAGCTTCTTGACAGAGCTAGAACTGCCATTATTTTGACTAGGGAAGATCTACAATAAGCTTACTGTACAGTAAACTATGGATTAAATGATTCCCAGAGACAGAGAACAGTCAGTAGTTACTTGTTATTTGATGTGCAGTGGACAAACTTATAAATATGCGATAAGAGCAAAGGAAAGTAAGAATTTGGACTTTATTCTCTTGCTACTAATAGTTTTTAGGTATATCATATGCTAATTGTTTAGGTTCTGTCATATGATATGGTTACATGGTATTTAATTTATGACGTGTCACTCTTGCTTCTTTTCTCCCATTTACTACAGATTAACTACTTATGAGAATAATATACTAGGTCCCCCTTGATTATATTGAACCAAAATGCTATGTGCAACTGATTTCTGTTGTCTTTGCAGGCAACGCCGAGACGATGATAAGTGGAAACATGATCTTTACGATGATGGCAAAGGGCCACAAGTTTCAAGTATAATTTTAGTCGCAGCAATAGCTGTATTAGTCATAGTTATATTTTCTATCTGTTATTACTTCTTGATAATCGTTATTATTTCCTGAAAATCTTGTTGTCACTGGGATATTTATGTAGAGTCCAATGTTGGTTCAAGTGATCTTCGACTGAAGCTCCAAAAGAAAGCTTTACAACAAACCTATCAAGGTGGCAGTGAAGGAGTTCGAGATCTTCGCGAGAAGTTATCTGGTACCATGAAGTCACAACCAACAACTGTAGATCCACTGAAAGCTAAAGCAGCCCCAGCAAAGGTAGCATCGGAGAGTGGTAAACCTGTTAAAAAAAGCGTCCTTTCTACTCAAACAACTGTAACAGATACGAAAAAACTCTCTGCACCAGCTTCCTCTAGTAAAAAGCCTCAGAAAAAGGTAGGACTCACGAGCAACTTTATTTTGTTTTGCATATATTATTCCATCAGTTCTTGCATTCATTGTACTTAAACAACATGTTAAAGAAGTGTCATGTTGGTTGAGTAATTACTTGTTTTGTTAATCTGTATTAATTATTAGATGGCAGTCTTCTGGTTCTATTTGCCGGAGTTTTGTGATATGCTTTCATTTGATGCTGATTGTTCAATTTTTTTTCTTTACCTTTCTGCTTACTATTAATTGCATTCTTTTGCGCTGCTTATTCATCGGCTCGAATGATTAGCGGGTTGCATTTTCTTTTATTATTCTTGAAATAGCCTTAATCGATTCATTGTAAATGCAGCCTGATTTAACTGTGGATGGGTTGCTGCGTTCTCTTGGTCTCGAGAAGTACTCAATACAATTCCAAGCAGAGGAGGTACTGCATGATGCATCATTTTACTTTTCTCCCAGCAAACATTAACAATTTATGTGGTTTTGATAGTTTTTTTTTAATTTTGCACGTGAAGGTTGACATGACGGCTCTTACGCATATGAATGATGATGATCTCAAGGCTCTAGGAGTTCCTATGGTAAGTTCTATAAATTTGTATTCAAATGTTAAAATCTTTCGTGCAAGTATTTGTGATTCAGTCTGGTAGATCTGTTGAAAAAAATTGAATACTTAAGAGATATCCAGGTTTTAAAAATAAATAAATAAATAAATAAAAACAGCCTATTTTGAATATCAATGAAGGCGGTATTGAATTCCTTGCTTCCTATCGGGTGACCTTTCTGATCGTACGGATCATTGGAGATATCTTATACTTGGTATCACGAGGATAAAGTTCATAAATGATACAATAAAAGGCTAGGTTTTTATAGATAGGAAATGATATAGAGGCAACTTCTACTAAATTTTATATTTTAGCTGCAAGACAACATTGCTTTTGTTGGTAAAATATTTGCCCCGTCTTACTCCACCTAGTATTTCGAGGATAAAGTGTTTTAAGCTATAAGGTTTATTTTTACTATGACATTGTGCTAACTATGTTAGAGGGTGATGTGGATGCAAACTCTTGACAGGTCTTTAGTTATGTAGTGGTAAGACGAGGTTTCCTTTGGTGATGTAACTTTTATGAAGCCTGAATACCTTTAATATACCTTCAGCCATGAGTTTTATCCATCAAAATAATCTTTTAAACATTCGATCATTTGTGAAGGTTCCCTTAAATTGTTTACCGTCTTCAAAGTTTACAAACCATATCGTTTTAGATTTCCTGTGCTTTTCTTTGACTTATTTTGCTGGCTTCAGGGCCCAAGGAAGAAGATTCTACTGGCTTTGGATTCCAAGACCTGAAGCAGGGGTCAAAATGCGTGAATATCAACCTGTGCACTGGAAAATAGTGTTTTCATCGAACGATTGAAAGTTTAACATGCAGCAGAGTCAATTGCATCTAACTCGTCACAAATTCACCCATCCAAGGGCTTGTCGAAGAAATGCGTTGTATTTTTATGAAATTTGCAGTTCGTGAATCTCTATGGCAGAGGTCTTTAAATTAAACCCAGTCAATTTGTTTTGAGACTCTTCTGGAGTTTCTGATTTTGATCTTTCAGATGTTCAAGCTAATGGCTGCTGGGTGTCCATAGTTGCAGCATATGATAGACTGTTAGTTTACTCTGAAGAGTTTGGTTCAGGAAAATGCATGACAGTCATTTAGACTGCTATTTGGGCGCGGTAATTTTAATTTTAGATGCTTTTTAGTCATTTACCATGGACAACATACACTGCGTATTAACCTTTACGATGATATGATGCATATCGGACTGGCAAGGAAAAAAGAAAACATGCGTCTTAGGAACTATTGGAGATGTATGCAGGTTGTAGAAACTAGGCAGCAATATCTTCAATCAATGACATGGAAAATCTCATTTATGAATTGTAACAACGTTGGAAATCGAAGTTATACCCCTGATTTATCTAACCATCCAAGTTACCAGCCATGTTACATGTTTGATATATTCCAAGTGTGTAAACAACTACATCAAATCACCAAAAAAGACGGAAGCTTGATTTAAAGGGTACATGATAATTTTCATTGAGAAAAAGAAAAAGGTAAAAACAAAGACGTGGGGGTGGTTTTTTTTAGGTGGGGGATT